AGACAGACAGACAGACAGACAGACAGACAGACAGACAGACAGACAGACAGACAGACAGACAGACAGATAGATAGATAGATAGATAGATAGATAGATAGATAGATAGATAGATAGATAGATAGATAGATAGATAGATAGATGATGGACAAAGACAGACAGATAGATGATGGATAGATAGAAATAGATGATGGATAGACAGATAGATAGATGGCTAGATAGAGGGATGGTGGAGAGAGAGATGATGGATAGATAGAAATAGATGATGGATGGATAGATAGATAGATAGATAGATAGATAGATTATGGAAAAGGGCTTTCCAACTGAACCTGGCGCCCTTAAGGCTGCAAGGCAGCTTCTGGGTTCCTTGCTGACCCGGGTCAACACTGTCGTGTGAATCCCAGTTCCGGGAGGGCCTCCTTTCTCAACCTTTGGTTGCAGAGGGCAGAGTGAGCCAGGCCTCCACTTACCGGGAGGGAGTCAATTAAGCGGCAAGAGAAGTCTCACTAAAAGCTTGCCATGTCAAAGAGCAGCTCAAGATCAGAAGCTGTGTATCCACCACAAACACACACACAGACACACACACACAAAAGCCCTCTCTGCTCATCCTCAGTCTACACAAAAGATAAATTAACTGGGCGCTTTACAGCAAGTGGAGCTTTTAATGGACTGCAAAGGACTGGCAAAAAAACAAACAAACAAACAAACAGCCTAGCCAAATAACAACTGTTTTGCTCTGCCCAGCGACACTAAGAGGGATCTTTTTATTTTATTTTATTTTATTTTATTTTGAAGCTCTCGACGGGGGGGGGGGGAGGAAAAGAGGCACAAAATTGCCATCACACTGTTCGGAGTTACTGAAGGAGGAGGCTTCTGCCAGCTTTGCAGGCCATTTGCTGCTCCGTTCCAGGTAAACGTTCCAACAATTTCTTTCTTCGAAAGAGTTGATATTCTGGGGAATTTGGCCTGGGGGTGGGGGGTGGGGGTGGGGAGGGGGCTGCAATCCAGAGAGAGGGCAAAAAAATGTCCAGATTGTTTCTATTTCCTTTTGCACGTTTCCGAAGGGGATTAAAATGTGCTCCCTTCCTTAGAATGCTTGCAATTTTTTTTAAAAAAAAATCTGCTTTTGACATAGAATAGAATAGAATAGAATAGAATAGAGTAGAGTAGAGTAGAATAGAATAGAATAGAATAGAATAGAATAGAATAGAATAGAATAGAATAGAATAGAATAGAATATGGAAAGAATAGAATAGAATAGAATAGAGTAGAGTAGAGTAGAGTAGAGTAGAGTAGAATAGAATAGAATAGAATAGAATAGAATAGAATAGAATAGAATAGAATATGGAAAGAATAGAATAGAATAGAATAGAATAGAATAGAATAGAATAGAATTCAGAATAGAATAGAGTAGAGTAGAATAGAATAGAATAGAATAGAATAGAATAAAATAGAATAGAATAGAATAGAATAGAATAAACAGAGTTGGAAGGGACCTTGGAGGTCTTCTAGTCCAACCCCCTGCTCAGGCAGGGAAAAACTAGACCATTCCAGACAAATGGTTGTCTAATCTCTTCTTAAAAACCTCCAGTGATGGAGCAGCCGCAACTTCTGGTGGCCAGCTGTTCCACTGGTTGATTGTTCCTGCTGTTAGGAAGTTTCTCCTTAATTCCAGGTTGCTTCTCTCCTTGATGAGTTTCCATCCGTTGCTTCTTGTCCTGCCTTCAGGCGCTTTGGAGAATAGCTTGACTCCCTCTTCTTTGGGGCAGCCCCTGAGATATTGGAAGACTGCTATCATGTCCCACCTCGTCCTTCTCTTCATTAAACTGGACATACCCAATTCCAGCAACCGTTCCTTATATGTTTTAGCCTCCAGTCCCCTGATCATCTTTGTTGCTCTTCTCTGCACTCTTTCTAGAGTCTCAACATCTTTTTTTTTACATCTTGCAAGTCTGAACTTAACCCTCTTTCTCCCCCTGTCCCCCTTGACTCCTACGAAACAACCCACCACTTTATTTTTTTTCTGAGCTGATCTGCGACTTTTAAAACTCGGCTGACCGGAGGTGGGGGGGGGGCGAATTTGACACAATTTGTCCACCTTTAATATCCACTCAGCTGTTCTGGGCAGTGGGAGGCTGCTGCGGTCCTTTCCTTAGAACAAGGCAATTTAGCGCCAAAGCCTCACAACTCTTGTGATGCCACAAGCCTCCAGATTAAAGAGACATCAATCCGGGGAGCCTGCGGAGAGCATCCTAAACGGCCCGTAATTGGACACCGTTTGAAACAAATCGTTATTTTCCAAAAGGAAATCTTTGTCTCTCTCCAAAGATAAAAAGGCGGATTTTTTTAAAATTTGTTTTTTTTAAAAAAAATTTTTTGCAATCAGGGTATCGTCTCCAAAAAGCTTTATTTTTATTTTTATTTTGGGGGGACCCAATTAGCCTTGCTTTTTTTTCTTCCTCTTCCGGTTATACAGATAATCCTCAATTTACAAAGTTCGCTTAGCGACCGTTCCAATTTATAATGGCACTGAAAAAACCGATGAAGGAAGGAGAGAGAAGGGGAAGGGAAGAGAAGAGGAAGGAAGGAAGGAAGGAAGGAAGGAAGGAAGGAAGGAAGGAAGGAAGGAAGGAGAGAGAAGAGAAGGAAGGAAGGAAGGAAGGAAGGAAGAGAAGAGAAGGGGAAGGAAGGAGAGAAGAGAAGGGGAAGGGAAGGAAGGAAGGAAGGAAGAAGGAGAGAGAAGGGAAGAGAAGGAAGGAAGGAAGGAAGGAAATTGGGGATAGGTAAAACCCAGGATAATTAAACAATTAACAAAAAGAACCCGAAAGAAAAATGACATTGTGTCATTAAATACACTGAGTCGCCTGTCAGCCATCAGACTTTGCCGCGTCTTCTTAAAAATGCTCGCCATAAAGTAAAATATGATTAGCTATTTTGACCCAGAAGGGCAGTTTTATTTCTCAGAGGGAATGATTAAGCCTGGCCTCCAGCTACGCAGATGGCTTTATGTTAAAGCAAGCTTTAAAAGCTGCATTATTTAAGCGCTTGCAACATTGCGTGACGCTTAGCCAGCTTGATCTGGAGAACTATCAGAATTAATCCCAGAGTTAAATTATGAGAAACACACACACACACACACACATACAATTTTATGGTGTTTCCATAAAAAAAAAAATCTGGTGCAGAAAACAAGAGATTTATAATTTACAATTTTATAATTTTTAATTATAGAATTATAATTATAAATTTATAATTTCCCCCCACACACACACCGAATCCTGGCCTGGGTAAAAGAGAAAAACAACGCCCCCAAATTCAAAGCTGGAGATTTTTTTTCCCACCCAGCCAGCCTCAGACTTCCCACAGGTCTCTTATAATGTCCCCATTATAATTAATCCCAATTTCCTGCCGATTGGCAACTTCAGAGATGGGACTTTGATTTTTTTTCTTTTTCCTTTCCTTCTCGCCACCGTCTCCCCTGGGGTGAGCAGAGGAATCCGAGTCTGGCTGATTGCTGTGCGGATTTGAAAATGGGTTTAAAAAAAAAATAAATTCTCCCCCCTCCTGTCCCCGGTAGCAATGGAAAAAAGGGGAAGGAGAGAGTGCACAACTTTGGACAGGGGGGAAAAATAAAAAATAAAAAAAAGAGGAATTAAAAGAAGAAATCTGAGGGCCTTTTTCCTAACCCGTGGATTGGAAAAGGGGATAGATAGATAGATAGATAGATAGATAGATAGATAGATAGATAGATAGATAGATAGATAGATAGATAGATAGATAGATAGATAGATAGATAGATAGATAATATAGAGATGGATGGATGGATGGATGGATGGATGGATGGATGGATAGATAGATAGATAGATAGATAGATAGATAGATAGATAGATAGACAGACAGACAGACAGACAGACAGACAGACAGATATAGAAAATGATATAGACAGATAGGTAGGTAGGTAGGTAGGTAGGTAGATAAATAGATAGATAGATAGATAGATAGATAGATAGATAGATAGATAGATAGATAGATAGATAGAGATGGATGGATGGATGGACGGACGGACGGACGGACAGACAGACAGACAGACAGACAGACAGACAGACAGATATAGAAAAATGATATAGACATATAGAGATAGATAGATAGATAGATAGATAGATAGATAGATAGATAGATAGATAGATAGATAGATAGATAGATAGATAGATAGATAGATAGATAGATAGATAGATAGATAGATAGATAGATAGATAGATATGGAAAGATAATATAGACATAGAGATAGATGGATGACTAGATAGATAGATAGATAGATACATATACATATACATACATACATACATATATACATACATACATACATACATATCTATATGGAAACTGCAATTAAAAGGCTCCTCCTATAAATGTTTTGCAGAGAGTTTAACGACTTAGAAATTGATATTCTATCCACCTCTGCCGAAGAATTATCGTGATCTGCAGCAGCTCCACACCGTTTTGATCAGGGGTTTGGGAGCATTTTAAACATCTTGATAACATGCTCGGAAAACAAACGCCGCTCGGAGTCTCTGATGGTGTGGCTTTGTGTGTGTGTGTGTGTGTGTGTGTAGGTGGCTTCACACAACCCCCACAGACTCCTCTATCCACAGAATAGAGAAACACGAAATCAAAGGGCTGGAAGGGCACCTCAGAGGTCTCCTAGTCCAACCCCCTGCCCGAGGTAGCAGACCTTATCCCATGTGGATCAAATTACAGGCCGTCCTTGACTTCAGATCTTCTAAAAATGGATTTTTCTCTTGCTTTTGCAGTGAATTTGCTGGATACCTCCAAGATTATTGGTGATTGGGGCTGGCTCATTTATCCTTCTCATGGGGTAAGTAATAATAGTAGTAGTAGTAGTAGTAGTAGTAGTAGTAGTAGTAGTAGTAGTAGTAATAATAACAACAACAACAACAACCGTAGTCATGACCAGGATCACAATCACAAAATCAACCATAATCACAATCACAACCAATCACAATCTCAATTTCAATCACAATGACAATCCCAATCCTAATCAAAATCAATCATAATCACAATCAATCACAATCAAAATCAATCATAATCGTCAAAAATCACAATCACACTTATGACCTACGCAACCTCCTCGTGTGTCCTGGGTGCCCTCAGTCAAACCACCCAATGGAACCGGTTCGATTCCCCAATTTTCCGAATTGTTCAACTGGTGGCTTCCTTGCTGGAGGTTCTCGAGAAGAGACTGGACAACCGTTTGACCGGCATGGTATAAGATCTCCTGTTTAAGCAGGGTTAGGGTTAGACTAGAAGACCTCTGAGGTCCCTCCCAGCCTTACGATTCCATGTTTTAAGTCATTTTTTGCCTCCGTGGGCTCAATTTTAAGCTCGTCTGACATCCTTTCTCTTTCCAGCCTCTTTATCCCTTTATAATCTGATATATATATATATATATATATTACCCCCTTAATCTAGCATTAGCTTCCATTTAAACTATTAGATAAATTCCCACATAGAGATGCAATCAAGCGCCCTGTCTCGGCGCATTAACGACGACATCCACATTTTACGTCCGGTGAAGGGATATTTTTTCCCCTTCTTCTTCTTAGGGAGAACGGCTGGAGCAGCCACTGCATGCCGGCTTGTTATCCCAAAAGCCTGTCTCTTTATTTCAGCCAAATCTGGTTTTTCAGGCCTTCAGATCACCGGGGAGTGGCCATTAATCAGGCTTAATGCTTTTTGATCAGTTCATCTCCAGTGGGTTGGGAAAACGCATGCGGTTGGCATGCTACTGCGAACGGCCTTCCCCACAGGTGCAAAATTCAACGCCTCGGACGACAGATAGTCCTCAACTTAACGGCTACGATTGGAGGCCGGTCGTTAAGCGGAGAGAGAGAGAGAGAGAGAGAGAGAGAGAGAGAGAGAGAGAGAGAGACAGAGAGAGAGACAGAGAGAGAGACAGAGAGAGAGAACAGACAGACAGACAGACAGACAGACAGAAAAAGAGATTGAGGGAGGAAAGAAGGAAATGGAAGGGAGGAAGGAAGGGAAAGAAAGAAAGAAAAAGAAAAAAGAAAAGGAAGGAAGGAAGGAGAAAGGGGAGGAGAGGAAGGGAGAGGAAGAGAGAGAAGAAGGAGGAAAAACATAAAATTATGACTTCTACCCCTCTTTCCAACAAGTACTTGTCATCTTCCTACTTCCCCTCTCTCTTTAATGCACTTTAATCCCCTAATCATAGAATCACAGGACTGGAAGGGGCCTTGGAGGTCATCTAGTCCAACCCCCTGCTCAGGCAGGAAACCCTCGATTAGAAAGTGTCTCGGATTCAAATCCTCCCGCTTTCTTCCTCCCCCAGTGGGACTCCATCAACGAGATGGACGAGGCCTTCCAGCCCATCCACACCTACCAGGTGTGCAACGTCATGACGGCCAACCAGAACAACTGGCTCAGGACCAGCTGGGTCCAGCGGCACGGCGCCCACCGCGTTTACGCCGAGATCCAATTCACCTTGCGGGATTGCAACAGCATGCCCGGCGTGCTGGGCACCTGCAAGGAGACCTTTAACCTCTACTACCTCCAGTCGGACCGGGATCTGGGCAGTACCCCCCGGGAGAGCCAGTTCGTCAAGATCGACACCATCGCGGCCGACGAGAGCTTCACCAACGTGGACCTGGGGGTCCGCCGGCTCAAACTCAACACCGAGGTCCGGGGGGTCGGGCCCCTGACCAAGAGGGGCTTCTACCTGGCCTTCCAGGACATCGGGGCCTGCATCGCCATCGTCTCCCTCCGGGTCTATTACAAGAAGTGCCCGGCCATGGTGAGGAACCTGGCCGCCTTCTCCGAAGCGGTGACGGGTGCGGATTCCTCCTCCCTGGTGGAGGTGCGGGGGGAGTGCGTTTCGCACTCGGAGGAGAGGGACACCCCCAAAATGTACTGCAGCGCCGAGGGGGAATGGCTGGTGCCCATCGGGAAGTGCGTCTGCAGCGCCGGCTACGAAGAGCGGAAGGACGCGTGTTCGGGTAAGGCCTGGGTTCGGGGAGGGTGGTTTTGGGGGTACCGATCTGGGGGCAAGAGGAATAGAGGGGGGGGGAAATTCAGGAAGTTAGAGGACCTTCAGGCTCCCCTTCCAGCTCTGATTGATTGATTGATTGAATGATTGATTGATTGAAATGGTCTAGAGTCTCCTGTTTGAGCATGGGTGGGACTAGAAGACCTCCCAAGGTCCCTTTCCAGCTTTATTCTGATTGATTGATTGATTGATTGATTGATTGATTGATTGATTGAAATGGTCTAGGGATTCCTGCTTGAGCAGGGGGTTGGACTAGAAGACCTCCAAGATCCCTTCCAGCTCTATTCTGATTGATTGATTGATTGATTGATTGATTGATTGATTGATTGATTGATTGAAATGGTCTAGGGATTCCTGCTTGAGCAGGGGGTTGGACTAGAAGACCTCCAAGGTCCCTTCCAGCTCTATTCTGATTGATTGATTGATTGATTGATTGATTGAAATGGTCTAGGGATTCCTGCTTGAGCAGGGGGTTGGACTAGAAGACCTCCAAGGTCCCTTCCAGCTCTATTCTGATTGATTGATTGATTGAAATAGTCCAGGGTCTCCTATCTGAACACGGGTGGGACTAGAAGACCTTCAGGGTCCCTTCCAGCTCTATTCTGATTGATTGATTGATTGATTGATTGATTGAAATAGTCCAGGGTCTCCTGTTTGAGCAGGGGGCTGGACTAGAAGACCTCCAAGGTCCCTCCAAGGGTTTTCACAGAACGAAAGGATGGGCGGGGGGGGTTGAATCCCACCCATCTTCAACCGGCCGAGACGGGCGTTTAAGCGACTTCGTGAATTGTGCTGCGCGACGCACAGCCACCATGCTTCAAGGTTAACCTAGTTTGTAGTTTGGGGAGTGAAGGAAAGACAGATCTTAATCAGTCCCTTCTGGAAGGCAGGCAAATATTTGGAGGAAACATCCACAGCAATTAATCCGAGCGAAATGAAATCCCTTTTCACTCCGCCTGGAGTTGGGAAATATACTCAAGTCTGCCACTTACGACCACGGCTGAGTCCCCCCAAAAAGTTGAACCAAGTTGTGGATAAAGAAGGCTTGTTTCGGTTATTTATTTACTTATTTCTGATTTGCCTATTTTATAAAAAAAACAACAACCACAACCACAAAACCAGCCGTTTTGTGAGCTGGCACAAGACGCTTCCGCGGACGCCTCGTTTTCCCGATCTCCTTAAACCTCTTAAGTCCTTCAAGCCTCGGGGCTTAATCTGGCAAATATTTCTCCTTGCACGCACAATCCCAGCGGTGTGTGTTTGTTTTTACTTGGGGAAGCCAGGGGGAAAAAAAACCAGGCTTTTTACAACTCCAGAGGCATTCCAAAAGACGGTTTTTATCCGGAAAAAATGAACGATTGGCGAGGAAGTTTGTAAAGTGGGGCAAATGTCTCGCTTAGCGACGGAAATCTTGGGCTCCCTTGTGGTCGTAAGGCGAGGACTATCTGCAGTCACTGCGGTTGGTGAACCTGGGCTTGGAGAATTGGGTGGAAGATGAATTATTATTGCTGTTGTTATTATTTAAAATTCAATCTCCAATTCGATTGACAGTTTGGGACTGGTAAAAACGTAACAAGGCCTAGTCCTCATCATTGTGGCCAGAAGGGTCATAAAGTGGAGCAAAATTCACTGGATAAGCAAAGTCCGGGGGGGGGAGAAGCGGGATTCACTTAACAGCCGTGTGACTAAATTAACAAATGCAGTGTTTCGCTTAACAACCGTGGCCAGAACAGTCGTAAAAATGGGGGAAAACTCTCTTAACTGGAAATTTGAGGCTCGATTCTGGTCATAAATGGAGGACTCCCGGTTGTTTTTCCAAGTCGAAATCTGAATTTTCAGCGTGATTTGGAACCATTCCTGACGCGCTTCTTCCTTTGAAAGCATCCGTGTCATTCCTGCCCTCTGGAGTTTTTTTGCAAAGTCGCAAAAACTTCTCCCCCTCTCCGAGCAAGATTGATCTCCAAGTATGGAAGCCATTTCCCCCCTCTCTCCCTCCCTCTCCCCTTCCCTCCCGAGGGGCTCCAGCGAGATCATCCGGCCTGCACCTGTACAAACCCTGATAAGACGACGGCAGCCGCAAACACCGCACGCTTTGCCCGAGGCGACGCGTGTTCCGGAGAGCCGGCGTCACGCTGGGCTTCTCCGAGGAGATGGTTGTTTGCTTTTCGACTTCTTCGCTGAAAGAAGTGGCAGGCGTTGACTTTGCAAACACCACACCGCAGGGGCTTTGTTGAGATGCGGGGGAAGCGGTCGGCTTTTGCCTTGACAATATCGCACACGAGGGTGGCAGACGTCAAGGTCACAACGGGGAAGGATGCTGGAGCGTAAAGTGCTGCCCGCCCTCAGTTACGCCGGATGAATTTGGGACGTCCGTCCGGGGTTTTTGGTTTTTTTTTGCAAACGGGCCGTTCCTGTTTTCCAAGTGAGGTTTTCAAGAAGAGACTGGACAGCCATTTGTCTGAAACGGCCCAGGGTCTCCTGCTTGAGCAGGGGGCTGGACTAGATGACCTCCAGGGTCCCTTCCAACTCCATTCTGATTGATTGATTGAAATGGTCTAGGGTCTCCTGCTTGAGCAGGGGGTTGGACTAGATGACCTCCAGGGTCCCTTCCAGCTCTATTCTGATTGATTGATTGATTGATTGATTGATTGATTGATTGATTGATTGAAATGATTTAGGGTCTCCTGCTTGAGCAGGGGGCTGGACTAGATGACCTCCAGGACCCCTTCCAACTCCATTCTGATTGATTGATTGAAATGGTCTAGGGTCTCCTGCTTGAGCAGGGGGTTGGACTAGATGACCTCCAGGGTCCCTTCCAGCTCTATTCTGATTGATTGATTGAAATGATTTAGGGTCTCCTGCTTGAGCAGGGGGCTGGACTAGGTGACCTCCAGGGTCCCTTCCAGCTCTATTCTGATTGATTGATTGATTGATTGATTGATTGATTGATTGATTGATTGATTGAAATGGTTTAGGGTCTCCTGCTTGAGCAGGGGGCTGGACTAGATGACCTCCCAGGTCCCTTCCAGCTCTGTTCTGATTCTGATTAGTCCCTGACCCTTCCCGTGTTTCATTCCTGCGTCATAAATCAAGGACGCCTGGATTGAGATACGTCTGCCTCGAAATCGATAGATATTTATCAGGGAGACGAGGGCGAGAAGGAAAGAGGGAGGAAAACCGTTTAATTCCCCCTCCCCTTTTCGGATAGACAGGAGAAAGGACCGGCTATAAATAAACACCCTTCGAGATTCGCAGGGAGAGAAAAAAAAAATCCGAGTTATTTATTAATGCCAAGCCCTTCTTTATTAGATCACTTTATTTTTAGAACTTGGAACAATACAATTACGAGGGGAATGAAAATAAGTTTCTGCAGGACACGGGTGGCATTTGGGAAAAAAAAATTACTCTGATAAACGTTTTGGGCCTTCCCTTTATTGCTAGTTGTCAGCTCAGAGAGAAATCTCATTTTAATGTATACCGATTAGCCTACATTTAAAGTGACAATAAAGTTATTTTTCGACAATAGAATAGAATAGAATAGAATAGAATAGAAAATAGGAATAGAATAGAATAGAATAGAATAGAAAATAGGAATAGAATAGAATAGAATGGAATAGAATAGAATGGAATGGAATGGAATGGAATGGAATAGAATGGAATAGAATGGAATGGAATGGAATAGAATAGAATAGAATAGAATAGAATAGAATAGAATAGAATAGAAAATAGGAATAGAATGGAATAGAATGGAATAGAATAGAATAGAATAGGATAGAATAGAATAGAGTGGAGTAGAATAGAAGAGAAGAGAAGAGAAGAGAAGAGAAGAGAAGAGAAGAGAAAATAGGAATAGAATAGAATAGAATAGAAGATAATAGAATAGAAGAGAATAGAAAATAGGAATAGAATAGAATAGAATAGAATAAAATAGAATATGGGAATAGAATAGAATAGAAAAGAAAATAGGAATAGAATAGAATAGAAAAGAAAATAGGAATAGGAATAGAATAGAATAGAATAGAATAATAGAATAGAAATAAAGAATAGAATAGAAAAGAAAATAGGAATAGAATAGAATAGAATAGAATAGAAATGGAAGGGACCTTGGAGGTCATCTAGTCCAGCCCCCTGCTCGAGTGACTGCTCGAAGTTACAGCGTCGCTAAAAGAGGACTGAGGACCGGTTTTTCACCCTTTTTTCTTTGCTCCTTCTCTTCCAGCCTGCCCAGTGGGGTTTTATAAGTCTTCTCCTGGAGACCAGCTGTGTGCCAGATGTCCTCCAAACAGCTATTCCGACACCTTGGCCGCGCAGGTGTGTCGCTGTGAGAACACCTTTTTCCGGGCTGCCCAGGACCCGCCTTCGGCCGCCTGCACACGTACGTACCTCTTCGCTCCTGATGGCAAATTCCTCAGCTTTTCGCCCGTCGGGAAGTTTTCCCTTCTCGTTCCAAATTTTGCCAGCTTTGGTGTATCAGGTGCACTTTCCTAATAATCGCAATTTCCCCGATTTCGTCTCTTGTCAATTGCATTTCCCTTCCAGTTGCGGTTTCCTTGATTTCGTCTCTTGTCAGTTGCCTTTTTTTCCTTCCACTGGACTTCCTTGTTTTTCCTTTGAAGATGTTTTGCTTCTCCTCCAAGAAGCTTCTTCGGCTCTGACCGGACGGTGGGGGAAATGGAAGGATTTATACTCCTTGCAGACAGCTGGTCATTTGCATCCTTTTAGAGAGTCATTGAGGCCACTTGGAGGCTTGTCTGTGACCTCGGGGGCAGCTGAGTGGTGCAAATGGGTGTGGAGCCTTCTCCAAGTGGCCTCAACGACTCTCTAAAAGGAGGCAAATGACCAGATGACTGCAAAGGGGACAACCAGGACCCGGATGAAGGAGACGCTCCATAGAAATAAGTTAGGAAAGTTCTCTCCTGACTTTTTTCCCTTCCCCGTTATGCATTTGTGGTCTAAGTCCTCTCTTATCTGACCATTCCTCCGTCTCCCGAGGTCTTTCTCACACGCCGTCCTTCAAGTTGGAGGTCGAGTTGGCTTTCAACTGGACTCTTAGCTCCTTCTCCACCTCTCCAGGTCCCCCTTCGGCTCCCACCAACCTGCTCTCCAGCGTGAACGGCACGACGGTGACCCTGGACTGGGCCCCCCCGCTGGACAAGGGCGGGCGGCGAGACGTCAGCTACAACGTCATCTGCCATCGCTGCCCCTGGGGCGGGGGCCACTGCGAATCCTGCGGGCCCGGCATCCGTTTCCTACCCCAGCAAATGAATTTGGCTCAAGGGTCCCTCTCCATCTCCAACCTTCTGGCTCACACCAATTACTCCTTCTCGGTGGAGGCCGTCAACGGGGTCTCCGACCTCAGCTATGAGTCCCCGCGGTTTGTGGCCGTCAACATCACCACGAACCAGGCAGGTAGGAGAAGGTGTCCCCAGCCCACCTCACTGTCACCCTCCTCCTCCTCCTCCTCCTCCTCCTCCTCCTCCTCCTCCTCCTCCTCCTCCTCCCTCTTCTTCTTCTTCTTCTTCTTCTTCTTCTTCTTCTTCTTCTTCTTCTTCTTCT